AGGCTTGACCTTTAGAGCTTTGTGCAATGGCTTCTCAGGGTCTCATTGCAAGGTATCCCAACCTGCCACATAGTACCTGCTGAGTGGCTTCTTGGAGCCTTAGTACCAGCTTCATGATTGCTCTCATACAGCCTTTATGCTTATAAAACTGCCATGTGGGTGACACTACCAAATTCGATGTCCCCTTGGAACACAGATATAGACACTCTTGGGCTTCTTCCTCAAGAATTCCATTCCTCAGGGCTGGAGAGATGGCTCAGTGGTTAAGAGCACTGGCTGCTCTTGCAGAGGACTTGGATTTGGTTCTCAGCACCCACATAGTAGGAAACAACCACCTATAACTCCAGTTCCAGGGGATCTGACATCCTCTTCTGACCCCCCGTGGGCATTGCACAACACAGGTGCACTTACATGCAGGCAAAACACTCATACACATAAAATAAAAAAATAAAATAAAAAATTCCATCCCTTTCATTCTGTTCCAGCTACAGTGGTCAGTTATTGTTCTTTACAGACCCCACACTAACCCCCGTGCCAACACCTTATACTGTTGCTCTCCCTGCCTGGGAATCTGCTTCCCTACCCTCTTCCCTGTGTGCAGTTATCAATGTCCTTTCTGTCCCAAGGCAGTCCTCACTGTCTTAGTTTGGGCTGCTCTAGCAAGTACCATGAACTGAGTGGTTTATAAACGACATATAATCTCATGAGACTAGTGTGACTGAGGGTTCAGTCCTGGGTCATAGATGTTTTATTTCTTTGTGTCTTCACATGGTAGAGGAGTAAGGGAACTTTGAGAACCTCTCTCATAAGCACAAATATCCTGTTTTAAAGATTTTTCTCTCTTTCTTCTTTCCCTCCCTCCCTTAAACTCTTTCTTTCTACAGGGCCTAGCTACGTAATACTGACTGGCCTGGTCCTTGCCAAGTAGACAAACTTGTGGCAAATCCCCCTGCCTCTGCCTCTCAAGTGCTGGTATTATGGGCAAGAACTGTCACGCTGGTTGATTTTTCATAATTTTTATATTTCTGTTTTTGGAGTTGTGCTTCTGGGATTATTTCACTGGTTGGAATTTTTCATATCAGTTCTATTCTGTCAGTAAAAGTGTTTGCCATGTTCAAGTGGAATTAGGTGACAGTAGGGATGAGGTGCTGATTCTCCCCATTGGATTAGGAGCATAGCTCAGTAGCTAAATCCTCAGTCCATATGCTCAGGGCACTGAACATGATCTCTAACACTTCTCTGAGAGTTGAATATTGACTGAGGAAGAAATCGCAACTGCTAAATAGACTCACTATTCAAGTATCATAATAATTTGTTTAAAAATAGTTGTTCCTGGGGCTGGAGAGATGGCTCAGTGGTTAAAGGGACTGGCTGTTCTTACAGAAGACATGGGTTCAGTTCCCAGGACCCACATGACAGCTAACAACAGTCTGTAACTCCAATTCTTGGGGATTCTGATCTCTGCGGGTACTGCATTCATGTGGTATAACGACATGCATGCCACAAACCCTCAGACACATAGCACACCTTCAATCCCAGCACTCAGGAGGCAGAATCAGGCAGATCTCAGTGAGAGCAAGGCCAGCATGGTCTACATAGCAAGTTTCATGCCAGCTGAGGCTACAGGGAGACCGTCTCAAAACGAAAACCCAAAAATTTAAAAAAAAAAAGGCACACATACACATAAATAAATAATAGAAAAAGAAATTAGTGGGCATTTCCCCTTTAATTTCAATAACTCAGGAGCAAAATAAACAAGGATAGTAGTGTGTGTACTAAGATATAGTTACTAAGCTTAGAAATGAAAATAAGCTGAGGAAGGTTATTAAGCTATGGAAAACTAATATAAAAAATATGCAGATTGGTGAAGATAGCGAAGAGGAAAAGAATGAGATAAATAAATGGAGCAGGGCGGGGTGGCACACAACTTTAGTCCCAGCACTCAGGAGGCAGGGGCAGGCAGATCTCTGTGAGTTCAAGGCCGGCCTGGTCTACACAGTGAGTTCCAGGCCAGCTGGGGCTACAGGGACACCCTGTCTCAGAAAGACCCCCCCAAAAATTTATAAAAAAGAATAAAAGGAGAAAAATGTACAGTAAATGGGTTTGGTGAATATTAGACACTGTATAACTGAATGGGTGCAGAGCTGGGCACAGTGGTGCATGCCTTTAATCCCAGCATTTGAGAAGCAGAGGCAGGTAGATCTCTGTGAGATCAAGGGCATCCTTGTTGAGACTCAGGTCTGCTGGTGGATGGACAAAATGACCCTCAGGTGGAGAAGAGTGAGTTTAATTCTTTAGCAGTGCTTTTTTAAACTCTTCAGAACTATAGTTACAAGCTTGGTGTTTGTGCCAGAATACATGAAAGAATTAGTTTCACAAAGAACAAAGCACATTCTACAGGTTTACCTTTAATCAGTAGGCTACAAAGAGTATATTAGTTTCTTACACTATCTATAGATTTTAACAGTTTCCAGGAAGGCTAGTCAGCCGGTGATCATGTTTAACATTAAACAATCATCCTATATTTTACAGTACCATGACTTTTTCTCTGATCTATGACTAAGGCTGTGTTCCTCCAAGCCCAACATTCTTGTTTTCAAGAAATGTCCGGACTTCATCCCTGACCTGGCCTGGAACTCACTATGTAGACCAGGGTGGCCTCGAGCTCATAGAGCTCTGCCTGCCTCTGCCTCCTGAGGGCTGGGACTAAAGGTATGAGTTACCACACCCGGCTGGAAGTGCTGTTTGTAACTCCAGTTCAAACATGTAAAGCCAGATTTGTGGATGTGCAGTGTCCCAGCAGTTAGAAATTACCTTTTGGGTCGAGTTTCTGCACAGTCACCAGTAGGTGGCAGGCTTCCCTTGGCCTTTCACAGTCCTCACCTTGGAATGTTGATTTTGGGAAATTTCTAGCAATTATTGTTCCACACATGCTGGATGGTCATGCACCTCAACTGCTCGAGTTCAATGTACTGAAGTAACCCCACACATACTACTATTTATCTGTCTCTCTCTCTCTCTTTTTTTTTTTTTTTTCTTGCATGAAATGTTCCTTTTCTCAGAAACCTGGCTGCCTTGGCCCTAGCCTGCACTTCCACAGCCTCAAGTAGCTTCAGATCCGGCAGTCTACACGTAATGATGAGGCCATGGCATGACTTCACTGAGTTCTACAGCATCCTTCTCAGCTGCCACGCTGTCACTGGCCCTGGCTATGCTGGGAGGATTCCTTCCCAGGATAGCCCTTGTGTGGCAGGGCTGTAAGAGATGTGGAGAGAGGCATCAAGATTGATAGAGAAAAGACTGGAAACCTTTCTCCACAGAGCTTGTATGCATGAAAAAGCTCGGAATGTACCAACAATGGAGCAGGGGTGTGCTATGTAAATGACCATAAAAGGACATGGGACTCCAGGACCAGAGCCTTTGAGCAGACACCTTTTCCCAGCTCACTTAGACCACGCCCATCCTTGGGAGTGTCTTTCTTAATAAACAGTCTCCATTTCTATTATCGCACTATGTTTCCCTGGTGGAATTCTTTGTCCTGGGACACAATTACTTGGAAATTTCTGTGGGTGTGCGCTGGACTCTTATCTGCACCTGTGACACATGAGTTTCTTTATCTCGTGGAGCAATCAGTCTTGATCCCCAGCAAGTGCTAATCCCCTGCTCACAAAGTCACACATTCACTATAGAGCCTCTTCCTCAGCTTAATGTTCCTGGTCTCTTGGTGTCAAGAGAAAAAGGAGGTGCACCTCCCTAGAATTTCCTTCTGACCCTTTCTTGGCTGCACACACGGTGCAGCTGGGCACTAGATCAGTGCTGCTCCTGCCTACTTTAAAGAGATCTCACCTGGCTTATTTCTTTCATTTATAGACATTATTTATTAAATATTTTATTTATTATTTTTATTTTATGTGTATGAGTGTATTGCCTGCATGTATGTAAGTACACCCATGTCGTGCAATGCCTGTGGAGATCAGAAGAGGGTATCAGATTCCCTGGAACTGGGGTTACAGACAATTGTTAGCCACCAGTTGGGTGCTGGGAACTGAACTCGGGTCTGCAAGAAGAGCTAGTGTTCTTAACAGCTGAGCCATCTCTCCAGCCCCCTAATTTCTTTTTTTAATTAAAAGAGGTTTTTCTTTATTATTTTTTTATTTTTTTGTAAGTGTTCTTCCTGCATGGATGTAAATACACTGAATATGTGTAATTCCTGCTGAAGCCAAAAGAGGACATCAAATCCCCTAGAACTGGCATTACTGATAGTTTTTAGCTGCCATGGGTGCTAGGAACTAAACCTAAGTCTTCTGCAAGAGCAGCTACTGTTCTTAACCACTGAGCCATCTCTGCAGCCATGATATTATTTCTCATAAGAATGGAAATTACAAAGCTGGGCATGATGGTATGCCTTTAGTCCCAGCACTGGGGAGGCAGAGGCAGGCAGATCTCTGTGAGTTTGAGGCCAGCCTGGTCTACATAGTGAGTGTAGGCCAGCTGGAGCTACAGGGAGACCCTGTCTCAAAAAGACCAAAAAAATTTAAAAGAGAAAAAAGAAAAAAAAATGGGGGCTAGAGAGATAGCCCAGCAGTTAAGAGCATTGACTGCTCTTACAGAGGATCCAGGTTTGATTCCCAGCACCCACATGGTGGCTAACAACCATCCATAACTCCAGTTCCAGGGGATCTGATGCCTTCTTCTAACTTCTGCAGACATTGCACCACATGGGTGCACTTATACCCATCCAGACAATACACTCATACATGTAAAATAAATAAATAAATAAATAAATAAAATATTTTTAGAAGAATGGAAATTACAGTTTATTTTCCTATTTCTTTCACACAGAGGGACTTTTAATATGCAATATTACCTACAGCTCCAATTTCCTACTTTTTCAAACTATTCCATAATATAGATTTTAAAGTATATGGTGTGACTCACCACCACCACTCTGCTCTCCATGTCCTCTCGTTGCTCCATTGCCTAGTCCTCTGCCGGTCACAATGGAAGAAGAAATCACTGAGCTCCTCATTGACAATGGCTCCGGCATGTGCAAAGTTGGTTTTTCTGGGGACAATGCCCCCATAGCTGTGTTCCCCTCCATATTTGGGTGCCCCTGACACCAGGGCATGATGGTGGGCATGGATCAGAAGGATCCCTATGGGGGTGACAAGACCCAGAGCAAACGAGATAGCCTGACCCTGAAGTACCACATTGAGCATGGCATTGTCACCAACTGGGACAACATGGAGAAGATCTAGCCCCATACCTTCTATAACAAACTGTGCATGGCCTCTGAGGAGTACCTGGTGCTGCTAACCAAGGCACCTCTGAATCCCAAGGCTAACAGAGAGAGGATGATGCAGATCATGTTTGAAACCTTCAATACTCCAGCCATGTATGTGTTCATTCAAGGCAGTGCTGTCCCTGTACGCCTCTGGGTGCACCACTGGTATTGTGGATGCTGGTGACGGGGTCACACACACAGTGTCCATTTCTGAGGGCTACACCCTTCCCTATGACATCTTGCTCTTGATCTGGCTGGCTGGGACCTGGCAGACTACTGCCTCATGAAGAGCCTGACCCAGGGAGGCTACAGATGCACCACCACAGCTGAGCAGTGAGACTGTGTGTGACATCAAGGAGAAGCAGTGCTATATTGTCCTGGACTTCAAGCAGGAAATAGGCACTGCTGCATCCTCCTCCTTCTTGTAGAAGAGCTATGAGCTACCTGATGGACAGGTGATCACCATGGGCAGCAAGCCATTTTGGTGTCCAGAGGCACTCTTCCAGCCCTCCTTCCTGGGTATGGAATCCAGTGGCATCCATGAGACCACCTTCAACTCCATCATGAAGTGTGGTGTGGACATCCATAACAACCTGTATTCCAACACAGTGCTGTCTGGTGGCATCACCGTGTACCCAGACATTGCTGACAGGATGCAGGAGGTCCCGGCCCTAGCAACCAGCACAATAAAGATCAAGATCATTGCTCCCTCTGAACGCAAGTACTCAGTCTGGATTGGTGGCTTCATCCTAGTCTCACTGTCCCCCTTCCAGAAGATGTGGATCAGCAAGCAGGAGTCTGATGAGTCAGGCCCCTCCATCATCCACCATGAATGCTTCTAGATGGACTGAGCAGGAGCCAGACATTTTCTGCATGAATTGATTCTGAAGTATCAGTTTGCCCCAGCAAATGCAAACCTCATACTAGTCTCATGAAACTGGAATAAGCCTTTGAAAAGCAATTTGTCCTTGAAGCTTGTATCTGATATTTAGACCTTGTTGCTGATTTCCAGTCCTGTATTCACGTTAACTTTTCCCTTAGTATATTTTTAATACCCTGTGCATATCTTGATTTAGGTCCTTAGGCAATATGGTTCAGTCACCTGGTGGCTGAGGCCAGCACACCATGGAAGAGAAATCCCCAGCTTGGTGGATCTGTATGAACACAGTGCAGTGATCTGTGCAGGGTATTAACGACAGAGCTGATTACTCCAGGATTTCTTGAGACTGGCAAGGGTTCCTAAACCAGTTAGCACTTGCTGGTCTAGCTGTGTGGTAAAGTCTGAGCCTTAGGATCCAGTTTCCATTCTGGTGTTTCCCCCCTGACCTGTGGGTTGTTAGTTGCCTTGAGTTGGGAATGTTTGCATTTACACCTGCGAATTTATGCATCCTTTTATGTAAGGTTTTTTCATACTCAATTCTTTAAGAAATGACAAATTTTGGTTTTCTACTGTACTGTTCAGTGAGAACATTAGGCCCCAGGAGCACATCGTCATGTAAAAAAAAAAAGTACATATAAAGTATATGGTATGCATGATCTACTACAAGCATCAAATACCAAAATCGGTGTATTCCAGTTTAGATATGGTTTTAGCTTTAGAAAATTTGGTGTAGTCATCGGGAGAATTAGGACTTCTGCCTTTGGCTTCAGAGTTTTCAGTCTCTGGTCACTTCACTCCACTGCTTCAGTTCCACACAGGATGAGGCAGAACACTGTCTTTGTAAGCAAGGTGACGCACGAGGCAGAAATCCAAAGCTAATGTTTATACTGTACTAGTGAATCCTTAGGGTCATGACCCAGGTTGATTAGCAAGCTGTGTCATCTTCCAAAACAATCCCTCTTTGGAATTTGTTTCATTTGAAGCAGACTTCGAGTTTATTAAGAGAATACTTTTTTTTTTCCTGTCCTTTTTTTTTTTTTTTTGAGACAGCTCGTCTCCCTGTTGCCCCAGCTGTCCTGGAACTCACTATGTAGACCAGGCCAGTCTTGAAATCACAGAGATTCACCTGCCTTTGTGCTGGGATTAAAGGCATGCTCCACCACGCCCGGCAATAGTAGACTTTTTTAAAAAATATATTTTATTTATTTTTATTTTATGTGTATGAGTGTATCGCCTGCCTGTATGTGAGTGCACCCGTGTCGTGCAATGCCGCAGAGGTCAGAAGAGGGCTTCGGATTCCCCTGGAGCTGGAGTTAAGGACAGTCATAGCCGCCATGTGGGTGCTGGGAATCGAACCCCAGTCCTCTGCAAGAGCAGTCAGTGCTCTTAACCGCTGAGCCATCTCTCCAGCCCCTAAGAGAATACTTTAACATAGATTTAAGCACAGATATTAATGGAGACAGAAACGGGTGTTTAGTAAAAAGGAAAGAACACATCCAAGACATTGGTGTGGGTTTTGCAAAGATAGTCACACTTAAGTATCTTAACCATAGCCATATGTACAATTTGGGGCCTTTAATATATTGTGCAAAGAGTTTCTAAGGACTTTTAAAAAAGGTGGGATTTTTTGGCGGGGGAGGAGGGTTGTAAATTAGATCACCTGATGGTTCCTGATATTCATTGGACAAAATTAGAAACTGAAAAGATAGAAGCAAAGCTGGGTGTGCACATCTTTAATTCCAGCACACAAGAGGCAAAAGCAAGTGGATCTCTGGGAGTTCCAAGCCAGTCTGGTCTACATAACAAGTTCCAGGCCAGCCGAGACTACATAGTGACACCCTGTCTCAGAAAAGAAAAATAAGGATAGGTCACAGTGAACAAAGGAATCCTGAGTACCACATAATGGTGTTAGGAATATATTTTGCCTATAAACAAACTTCATACCCTGAGAGTCTCAAACTTGTAGGCTTGCAGCTGAGAATGAACAATGTTTAAACTCAAAATTCTTATGTCTTAGATCTTGGTTCTTAGGCATGGCTCACTTCTGTTCTGACATTCCTCTTTGAAATATCTTATTTGTGTGTGTGTGTGTGTGTGTGTGTGTGTGTGTATGTGTGTGCATGGGTGCTGGAGGCCAGAAGAGTGTTGTTTCTCCTGGACTTCGGCTACAGGCAGTTCTGAACTGCCTGATTTGAGTGCTAAGAGCCAACCTTGGATCCTCTAGAAGCACAGCATGCGTTCTAAACTGCTGAGACATCTCTCCAGCCCTTATTTAAAATATCTCTCTTGAAAAAGGATGTTATGGCTGACAATTATTCTGGAATGTTTTACTCTTTTTTTTTTTTTTTTGGTCTTTTTAAAAGAGTCTCCCTATAGCCACAGCTGGCCTGGATTCGCTATGGAGAACAGGCTGGCCTCGAATTCACAGAGATCTGCCTGCTTCTGCCTCCCCAGTGCTGGGATTAAAGCTTGCATCACCACACCCAGCAGAATATTTTACTCTTAACTGTGGAGAGACTTTCTCTGCAATGTTTACTCTCAGCATGTGAGAGACTTCAGCCAGGATGAGAAGCACCCCCATCCCCTCCTTAACTTTCCCTGACTTTCTATACCGTCTAATTTCCTACTTTGGGACTTTGATTCCATAGTCTTCATGGTTGTGTATGGCTAAAGACCCAATTTCTGAAACTTCTTCACTGATGAGCAGGGTGTAGACCTGCCTGACCAAGGACTGACAGTCTCAACCTGCTTGACCTAGGGGAACATGAGACAGTCCCAAGCTTCGATATTGAATGATCATCATTTTGAAACAGGATAAAAGCAGTGCTCTCCAGTGTGGGGGAGACTTTCTAGCCATGGGTAATGTTTACTCAGGACTTAGGGTGCCAAATGCTTACAGTCACACAAGAGTGGCAGTAAGTCAGTGTCTCCACTGAGCCACTGGCAAGTGATTTTGCTTCATAATTATGCCTAGGACTGTACCGATTGGATCTCAATTGAAGGCACTGCTGATAATATCAGAAGAATGAATTACACAGACCACAGTGAGGCTGAGTCTTTAAAAAGGATTTTTATTATAGGTGAAGAGGGAACTGAAGAGAAAGCAAGGAAGCAGAGCTCCTGCAAAGGAAGCCAGAGAGTCCCCGTCTATGAGCTAGAAGAGTTTTTCTAGGTTGAGGCCTGGGAGGTAAGCTGGTCACAGAGCTAGCCCACCCACAGGTGTTCCTGCACCTCAGTTTTGGTCTGTCCTGGTGTGTAGCTTCCAGGCAGTGGTTGCTCATTAGGTTGTGTAGAAGAAAGAATAGGAAACCAGGGCAGGAACAAGAGCCCCTAACACTGCTGGGCTTTCTGGCCTCTGGCTAGGACAGAACGAAGGGCATTTGTGGTTTCTGGCCAAGCACAAGAATCAGAACTGCTGTGTTGTGTTGTGTTCTCTTTGAAATAGAGTCTCTTTGGAGCCCTAGCTGACTGGGAGCCCACTATGTAGACAGCCTGGCCTTGGTCTCACAGAGATCCACCTACCTCTGTCTCCTGAGTGCTAAAGTGCTAACGGCATACATTTCCATGCCCATCCAGAACTGCTCATTTTTGAGGTTCCTGTCCCTAGAACTCCCTGTCTAGTTTCTGTCTCCTGTTATCAATTTGGTTGGAATCTGGAACAGAGAATATCATTAATCAGGACATCAAACCACATGAACAATAAAACATACAGCACAATGTTATGCTTAATCTTAAGATTAGTACCCCAAATAGCCAGGCCATTTTCTACTATGAGGTACATGAGAACCATGGTGTACTGGATAGCTTTAGTGTCAACTTGACACACCTGGGTTGAGGGAGCCTCAATTGGGGAATTTTCTTCATTGGATTGGCCTGTGGCCATGTCCATGGTGCATCTTCTTGATTATTGAGTGATGTGGGAGGGCCCAGCCCACTGTGGGTGACACCACCCCTGTGCAGGTGGGCCTGTGTTGCATAAGAAAGCAGGCTGAGCAGGGACCAGGAGAGCAAGCCAGTAAGCAGAAATCCTCCATGGCCTGTGGTCCAGCTCCTGCCTCCAGGTTCCTGCCCTAAGTTCCTACCTTGGGCTCCCTGATGAACTGTAACCTAGGAGATGTAAGCTAAATAAACCCTTTCCTCTCCAAGTTGGTATTGGTCAGAGTATTTTGTCACAACAATGAAGAAGCAAACTAGGGCAGAAATTGGTACCAGGAGCGGGGTGTTGGCTGTGAAGAACCTGACCATGTGGAGTTTTGAAGAAATGTGCAAGACTTTGGAAGATTGGGCTAGAAAAGCAGTTGATTGCTGTAAGAAGAGCTTAACAGGCCATTCTAGTAGGGACCTGGAAGAAAGTAGTGCTGAGAACAATGTAGTTCCAGAGGGAAATAAGAATTTAAGCAGCACTTGGGGTATTTTGGCAAAGAGCCTGGCTGGAGTCTACCCTCGACCTAAAATCTTGCCTGAGGCTAAGTTGAAAAGCAATGGACTTATTTCTCTGGCAGAAGAAATTTCAAGACAGCCTAATGTAGAAATGGTGGTGGCTATTAATGGTGACTATTATGCAGATCTACAGTGAAAGAGAGAAAATGGGGCAGAAAGAAATGCAGTTTGGATTGAAAAAGAGCACTAGGAAGACTAATGTTGGAGCCCTGGCATGTGATGGAGAGGATCCCATTGATAAGGAGATTAAAGTGATTAATCTCTAGGGGCCTAGAGATTCAAACTTAAACAATGGAGAGAGTGCCTCCAGGGCAAGACCACACCCAGTTAAGCCTCCAACTTGTGAAAGGAAAATGCTGCTGGGGCCACTGAAAGGGGTCATCAGTTCTTCCTCCATGGTTTCAGAGAGCTGCTGAGGCCAGGCAGCGTGAAACAGGGTGCCCCTGCCTAGAGAAGGCCCTGATAGGCCATTGTGTGAAGCTGTGAAGGTGAAGCCTGGTTGGCAATGGAGACCCCAAGAAG